TCTTTACTTTAATAAAATCTTGTAATGGAGGAGGGGCAAGTCCATGCAAAACTTTATAGACAAAACATCCATATTTAAAACCAATAAAATGATTAAAATTAAGCAAATTATACTTGTGCAGTGGTGAAATGAGAATGGTTTCTTGTCCAATATTTTTATGGCTTTTTAAAAAAGTGATTTGATGAGTTTGAGTGTTGTGCCAACAGCGAGTGACCATGTTGTTATGCAGTACTCTATATGGGACAGAATCATGGAGTGTAAAAACATTCGTGCCGCATATAAAGTCATAAAAGGTCTTACTTGTCTAAAATTCACTAAGTTAAAATTAACAGTTTTTGTAAGGCGCTTAATGTGTTTCTTAAATGTCAATATCGGGTCCAACGTCAGTCCCAGGTATTTAATTTATAATTGAATAAAAGCAAAATATACAAGTTTCATGCTAAAAAAAAAGTTCCTATGAGGCCGGTAGCTTAAAGGAAATGTATGTAATTTTTCCTCATTCTCAGGATAACCTTCAGAATTCCCTCACTGTGCTGGAGAGGCACTCATTCTTGATTGCTACAGGCACTGAGGTTTAGATCGTGAGGATTCAGATCAGAGAGAAGCATTTTAGGTTGAAAAATAACTGGATTTCAGCACTGAAACTGGCAACCCTAATGAAAGACTCATGTGAGCTTGATTTACTGATTGTGTAAGCAACTTGAGATCCAAAACATCCAATTATAATATAAACATGTTCAGTGTTTTTTGTAATTAAGAATAAATCAGAATTATAATTGTCACCTGTAAGAGCAAAGTTTATTTGAACTTGTCTACATCATACCTGGGCACACAGATAGATCATGTTTATGGAATTTTAAATATGTCTAAGGAGAAAAAAGTGCACTCAACATTTTGCAGATTGTAGCCATGTTGCACGTCTGTGTTAAGGTAATGTGAAGCCCCTTTTTCCTCAAGGTTAGTTATGATCAAATGCCATGTTTACATTATATTAAATGCCGCAGGAAGTACTACATCCTGCTGTGAATTGTCCTGTTTTCTCGGGATTGTAATTCTCATAATCAGCCTTTAGCAGCTCACCAGCGAGGTAATCTACCCGTGCACAGCATCCAGCCCCATTAATCATTTGTCTAAGTGACTGCTTTTGTACACGTCTATCTCAGTCAGAGCCTCCAGTGCCCCGGCCTCCCCCTCCTCCCCTCTCCCCACTCCCCTCCATGTGAAATGCAGTCTTCGGTCTCTCATAATGTTATTAAGCTCCTGGCCACCACCCCTGTCCTGCTGCTTTCTTACTTTTCTTTCTATCACAAGGCGGGATGGGATCAGCGGTGTGCCGTCTACAACCACAAAGCTACAATAATGCAACTCACTGCTTTTTCCGGACAAATCCATTTTCACAAAGATGGAAGACAAATCCGGGTCATACTGTAGTCGGAAAGAAGAATCTTTTACCGAAATTGGGATTCAGTTCAGCTCATTTGGTTAATACTCATTTTCAAAGCACATTACATTAACAAGCTTAATCAGATACCATTCCACTGCTGCATTGAAACCCTATGAATGATCTGTAATAATTTATGTGCTGCTGACCCTACAGTGTAATCGCCATGGCAACGGTGCTACTTGGGGACATGTTTGTGCACATTACTGGTATCTAATGGTCTAATGGTTGTACATAGGGAAATAGGGTTTGTATGGAATAGGGAACAGAGTGAATGTTTAATACAGACAATAAAAACAATAAAGCATTCCAAAATCAAATAAAACACAATACACATCAGCATAATGAAGCCATTCCAAGTTAATTGATGAGTATATACGCAATTATGTAAATAATTATAATTATACACTTGTCCATCCATCTTCTTCCACTTTATCCAGGGCAAGTGTCATTCCCTTTCCACACACACTTGTAACATAGTTTATATTTTATTAAGTTTGAAATAAAGTAGGCAGTACACACTATCACCATTTGTGACTGAATTATACACTACTCTAGAACGGGCAAGAATACTCAGTTATACAAAATTGAGGAAATTTCCCTTGAATGAAGTAAAGGCTTGTGGTTTAAATCTTATGATGGGCATTGCACTCTGTTGTTATGAAGATGTGTATACTGAATTTGAAACAACATTTTTATATGTGTAGTTCTCCCTCTGGAAGCTGCAGCCAGTTGCCTGGGTTTACTATTCATCAGTGAGTGAGTGGTGCATTCAGAGGTAAATTTCGGGGTAAATACTGCAGAGATGGCAGTCATCACAGCTGCTGTGCTGAGGGCTTCCTTTTAAAACGCTCCTTGATTCTTTCCTGTCTATGGTGTGCTTTGTGAAAAATAGGTCAAGTATTTTCTGGGGCTTTTCAATGTGTTGAGAGTAGTTTGTAAAGACATGCTTTACGTGGCTTTTCAGAATATACCCATTAAAAACTAAACTATTGACATGAAAATATCTCTGTTTGTCTGCAGTAAAATCCAGTCTGGGAGCAAGCTGGTGTTAGCCATCGACACTGAAGCCTGCCAGGGCAAGGATAACTTTGTGCGCTACCTGGAGCACGTTCAGGCCGTCATCACAGTCAATGCCAGTCGCCGCGGAGACCTGAACATCAACATGACCTCCCCCATGGGCACCAAGTCCATCCTCCTGAGCCGAAGACCCCGGGATGATGACTCCAAGGTGGGCTTTGACAAGTGGCCCTTCATGACCACCCACACCTGGGGAGAGGACCCGCGGGGGACCTGGGTGCTGGAGGTGGGTTTCCGTGGAGACGAGCCCCAGCGAGGAGTACTTAAGGAGTGGACTCTGATGCTGCACGGAACACAAAGTGCCCCTTACATAGACCAGAAAGTGCGCGATTATCAGTCCAAACTGGCCATGTCCAAGAAGGAGGAGCTGGAGGAGGAGCTGGATGAAGCGGTCGAGAGAAGTCTGAAAAGTTTGATGAGTAAAAACAACTAGACTCCTGCATGTGGCCCAGCTGTCTTCTATAGTTAATCCCTGTTTGCAGTCAGAGGTGGGTAGAGTAAAAATTGTAAAAAAAATTGTACACAAGTAAAAGTAATGCTACTTCAAAATAGTATTACTCAAGTAGAAGTACAAAATGACTGAAGAGTACAAAAGGTATTCGAGTTACTGGAATGAGAAAATGTTAACTAATGCCCCAAATCTTACACTAGTCCATCTAAAAAAGTTAGAATATCATGAGAAAGTTAATTTCAGAAAGTCAAATGCATATATTATATAGACTCATAGAATGCAGTTTTTCTTAATAGTAGCAGCGGTGGAAGAAACACAAATTATTTAATCATTTAGTATTGTCAGAATAATTTTGTCACTTGTAATCTCACAGTGGGAAGTGTAACCAAAATGTTTACTCTAGTAGAGAGTACTAGTATTATGGAAGTTACTTCAATAATAGTAATAATTAATATAGTAGGAGTAAAAGTATGCTGCTAGAAAAGTACTTTGAAAACTACAAATTCTTTAAAAAGTTACTCAAGTAAATGTAACTGAACACTACCCACCTCTGTTTGTAAGCACGCGCTATCTTTGTCTCCAGTCCATCTTCTCAGTTCTGCTCACTATGGCGGCTTCCTCTACCTCTTTCTGCCTTTCGTTCTTGTGTTTTTATCTCCACAGCCTTCAATGAATGTTTCTTGTAATCCGACCGTAATAAAAATGTGATAATCTTATATAGAAGTAACACCACCACCTGGATTATTCTGTTTTTTACACTACAGAATTGTATATATAGCCCAAATCTCTCCACATATGCTGTTGCTTTGAACTGCCCTGCACTTCTCTTCTGCCAGCTGTTGTACAGTTTGTGACTGTAAATGATTTTCAGTGTCATTCCACTTTAAAGTTTCATACCTGGCAATCGGAGCAGTGGTCCTTCTTTGGGTTTCTATTTTTGTGAGACGCACTGTTTCTAAATGTAAACAAGGAAAGGAATGTCCCGTTTATTTTGCAGCCTGTGGTCCTTAGTTCATATTTCATAATCTTTGATGTAAACTATAATAAATCTATTCAGCTGTTTATTAAAGCACCTTGTGTATTTTCACATTCTGCACAATAACACAAAGAAAAGCAGTTTCTGACAATAATTATTTAAAAATTTAAAGGTGCACTTTGTAAACTTTCTGGTGAAGTCTCTGCTACGTGTTTCCATGGAGATGCTATTGCTTTGCTGGGAATTTCGCAGTGTGGCATTAATTAATTAAATACCTCGATAAAAAAGCTTTCTTACTGGGAGTGAGGTTGTTTCTCAACAGATCTGACATGAAACCCAGCCTGATTGCGTCACTTGTTTCTGTGGCATATGGTGGAACATTAAAGGCAAAGTGATCACATCTCCAGTGAGTAAGGGGATGGCAGACATTACACCAGAAAAGTTACCCAGTACATCATTAAGTATCCTTCTATAATACAATTAGATTTCCTATAATAGCAAGAATAGAACATTTGCAGCACTGTGAACTAGGCACATTTTTATGAATTTAGTTTTTCATAAATGATCAAACCCCATATTATCATGAAATATATTTTGCAAGTGCTAATTTTTCCACAAAAAGATCATTTTTAAAAATCTATTATAAAATACAAAATAAATCAGACTGGGGCATGTAGTACATTTGAGTTACAATAAAGTGTTATTATAATCCAATAATAATGGTATAAAGAATAATACAAAACATAAATAGGTGTTTGAGGCTTTTATTTATCAGAGATCAATGCAAATTAATTCACAGCAAAATCTGTGCTGAAGGCAGGCAGTGGTTTCCAATTAAAAAATATCTCAAAGGGAATGGGTGGCACATCTTTTCATCTTTTCATAATTTTTTACTTTTTTTCTTTTTATTAATTTCAAGGTGTGACATATTTTATTTTTATTTCAGGTTTTCAGACAGTAAAGGACTTAAGCATGAGTTGTAGGTAAAAACAACATCACCACCAGCACGGAATGTCACGATTTGGGGAACAATTTTGTATTTTTGAATTATTTTAGTGCTTTTTCTTGCTGGACTTCTCAATCATGGTCTCCACCACAGTAGATGTCTCCTCATAACCCTTGATCTTCCGATCATTGGATATCTTCTCGACAGTTTCTTTTACCTCTATCTTCTCATAGGTCATTGCATCTGGACTGAAGCTACTGCTGGAGCTACTGGAACTTGAGCTGGAACTTGGAATACGAGGAAGCCCACCAGGGCTTTTCTTCCCTGGATGATGATCTGCTCCTGAATTCGGCTCCTTCCGGCCACTAGGGGGAGACACCGGACATGTCTCTTTACCGCGTGGATCTCCGCTCTTGTGCCTGGCCTTACCTCCTCCATCTTTACCCTTTGGTCCTTTGGGCTCATCTTTCGGCGTTGGGATGGTTGGAATAAAAGGTGCTGGCTCTGGCTCTGGAGCTGGTTCTGGTGGAATTGGAAAATCTGGTCCATATATATCATATGGCGACATCCTGCCATCTCTGATTGTGACGTAGATGTGTCCAGCAGATGGCGTAGTTGTGTAGAAGCATGGATCGGGATAGCTAGCATCACCAGTAACTAGGACGTAACGTCCTTTGGTGTAGAAATCAGCGATGGGCTCAGGTCTCTTATACTTCCTCATTCTATCCCTGACGATGTTGCAAAGAGTATCAAATGCCTTGCTGATCTGAGCTCCATCTGGGACGTCTTGAGGGGAGGCACTGGTAGTTTTCGGTTCCTTTGAATTCTTTTCCTGGACCCCTTCAGTGGATGTGATCTCGGTTTGTTCAATATGACCTTCTCCAGAAGGTGTTTTGTCGCCATGGGAACTGTCAATTACGTCCCTGTTGGTCAGATCCCTCCTCTTCTGCACCTTCTTGGCAATGTTCTTCTGGCGCGGTTTGATGTTGGTGATCTCCTGGAAAGCTTGAGTGATGTCTGTTGAAAAACAAAAAGATAGTTAATATTACAGTGTGTATCTTTTTTTTAGTGAAATGCTTGTCACTATGCAGATGTTATTGCTTCGAATGGAATGTTCCACAGATTTGTATTTGACATATCTTCATGGACATTGAGGTCGCCACCAGGTCAAGATATCGGACGGATATGTGGAGAGGCAAACCCACTCACAGTAACAGTGCAAATCTTTCAGTGTTTTTATAGCACTAAAAGACCTGTCAGAATGTAAGATGACTCATTTAAATAAATTTAAATGAGCAACATTCCAGGGAAATAATATCATCAGAGAAATGTTACATATTCTATCTTTAAGCTCAAATTTATGAACACAATGTATAAAAGTGTATTAAAAAAAAGAGAACTGGACACGAAAATACATCTCTTTTATGGTTGACTTGGCTTGCAGCTATTGTTTTTAGCATTATTTAAACGGCTTCACTTCTCACTCGTTGTCAGGTGTACTAATTATTATTTCATTTTTAGACAGGCTAATTTTGGTGATTTTACATTCCAATTTCAATTTTTTTGATTTTCTATTGGATTTCCATCTTGTTTATTCAAATTAACACAGAGTTTGCGTAATTGCTCAGTCATCCGGATCATTCCATCAAAAACAATATGTCAACAATATTTTTAAAACAGATGCAAAAAGATATCATTTATTCTGCCTCAGTAAACATGTGTACCAGCCAAATATTTCACAATTCTCCAAAAAGATAAACATAAAAAAAAAAATAAAAATAAAAAAAAAGAAGAAGAAAAGAATCACTTGAAGAAAAGAATCACTTGAAACTAGTGAAAGCAATGATTGAAGATAATTTCAAAGACTTGCCAAGATAACCCCTGAGCAAAACAGGTATTGTCAACCTACTATTGAAGATATACAGTAGCTTTAAAGGCCCCATATTACACAAAATGGATTCTTGTGAGTTTGAAGTCATGTTATAATGTTGTTACCTCATCAAGAACATACCTGGAGTTGTGAGTTGTAGTTTCATTCACACGTTTGCGCAACCCTTGTTTATTAGTCTGTCTACAGCTCAAAATGCTCTGTTCTACCTTGTGAGGTCACATAGTGGTAGTTTTCAAATCTAGGGCTACACAGCAAAAACTGGAGGGTTAAAATTTTAGGGTAAAATATTTCAGAGTTGTTTTTAACCAAAAGTGTTATTTTAACAATTTGAAAGTTAAATGGGGGTTCCAGTTGGGGTTATTTGCCAGAGTTGATGTGGTTGAGGTTAATTCAACTTCCCTTAGTGTTAATTCAACTTCTCTTAGGCTACGTTCAGACTGCAGGGCTTAATGCTCACTTCCGATTTTTTAGTGAAATCCGATGTTTTTGCGAGGTCGTTCACATTTCCAATTAAATGCGACTTGTATGTGACTCCAGTGTGAACATTAAACAGCCTGAAAGTGTCCCGCATGAGCACTGGAGGACACGATGACGTCAACCTCAGCGAGCGTGCTCTGTGTACGGAAGTTGTCCAAACATGGACGCGAGCATTGAGCACCTGGAGATTTTAAAGTTCCTCTCGTACCGGAGCCAGAACATGAACAACTTACTTGTTTTAAGGAGGAGATTGAGAAGGAGAAGGATGAGGTTTTTGGCCGTGGTGTTTTGTGGGACAGTGGCAGCGACGTCCGTTGAAAGGAACGTGTGGATGTGGAGACGTAGCGAGTGGCGATGTGCTTCGCTTCAGTGACACAGAGTTCATTAACAATTTTTGCCGACTTCAGCGCAGAATAGTGACGTTTGTGGCTTGTTGATAACGTGTAGGTGGATGGATTCGCTTTGGCCGTTCACACTGAAGTCACATGTCATAAGATCAGATATGTATCGGTTTCAGGACCACATATCCAAGTGGCCTGGGTCGCATTTGAAAAAATCTGATCTGTGTCATTCAGACTGTCATTAAAAGATCAGATACAGGTCACATAGGGGCCAAAAAATTGGATTTGGGTCACTTCAGGCTGCAGTCTGAATGCAGCCTTAGTGTCAATTTGGCTCCTCCCATTCACCACTTCAAACTAAACTAAACTTCAAATTAAAATAAAGTAAAAATAAAATAAAACGCCTCTGTGTTGTTTAGCTAAATCAGAATAACTCTACAAAGTGTTATCTCTTTACTCTCAAAACTTGAATATAACTCTGGATTTCAGGGTTAAACAGGAACTTTGGTCCAGTGTTACTTAATTAACATTTCCAAAAATGTTAAATGAACTCTAGAACAGATTGGACTCATATAAACTTTGAGAAAATGTAAAAATTGGTTCTGTGAGAGTCAATTTTTACACTCCACTTACCTTAAATTCAGTTGAGATTGGCAATCCCAGGTCTAAAATCATCCAAATAACTATAGTGAGGGTGTATGGAGTTTAAAAACACAGCTGACAGAGGGTTTTCAGTTTGAGAAAAAAACTCAGCCTATACTGTATGTGCCGGGTTAAACATGTGTGAATGAAATGAAACAAAACACAACTTCAGGTATGTTTTTGATAAGAAAACAGCATTACAAACAGCGTAATATGTGGGCCATTGAAATAGTAGAAGAACACCGTAAGCCGGGCTGGACGAGAATCCCCGGCATTATCTTACACAATGGCCTCTGATTGAAATAGCCTTCTATAGTGATTCTCAATGCAAAGCGGCACTGATGTCTGGATGATGGTAGCCACATTAGTATTGAGTCTTCTTACCTCTCCCCCTGCTCAAAGCCGAGGGGGTGTGGGTGTAGCTGTAATTAGTGGTGAACAGGGTAATAGGAGTGCCAATTATCGCTGAATTCAACCTGGAAGAAAAAAAAGAGGACATTTCACCTATTTGGAAGAAATTATTATTAAGTCCAATGGCTGTTTCAAGGTCCGTCCACATTATCAGAATTAGCCTTTTCTCGAGGTATTATTGAAAATATGGGCTGGACAATAGATAATAATTATGATGTACCACAGACATATTACAGTGAAGCAAAAATAGAGGGCTAACATTGTACCTGCATCTCAATAAATGACAATTATGGAAATTTTGGTAGGGGCTGTTTTCCATTCAAATTCACAAAGGTTATGTACTGCAGGCCTATTACACACGCACACACAGGCACGCACACAAAACAACAACAAAAACACACAGGTTTCCATGCTTCTTGGACATAACATGAACTTATATTCATTGCCTGCAGACTCATCCTAACCTTAACCAAAACCTTAACCTTTATCTATCTATATCTGAATTGGAATCATGTTATTTATCAAATAATAAAGGATTTGCGTCACAGAGACCTGATTTTTTAAAAGTGTGTGTGCAGGTTTTCCTCCCTACAACATGATAAATATCTGCCCACTTTTAAGTTTATGGGTATTTTTCTTAAGTTTAAGTAGTGCGTCATGATGTGGATTTGAAGACTCCTGAAGGGCAAGTCCGACATTTAAATTAACTTTTTCAGATCTAATATCGCATATTTTTTATGCAGTATGCACAAGGACAGGAGGATAAAACAATTTCTATCAAACACTGCCACCTGCTGACTAGATTGCACTACACAACTAATTACATTATTTCAACATTATGTGGTCCCTATGGGTAAATTATCACATGGTAATAATAATATGTTTATTCTGATATTTGATAAATGATAAATTGCATTATGTTCCAACAATAATCAACACATACATAAGGACAATTACCATTTACAAATATAGTCTACAAAATTAATCAATGGTCTCTATGAGTACATTAATCTATAAGTCAACTCTACCAGTGGCGGAGTTAACAATTTGGGGAGCCTAGGTGAACTTGAGATTGGGGTCCTCACTATAATGCACTGATTTGTTGTTTGTTTGTTTTTTCTATTTTCTATTTTTTTATGTTTATTGTCAGTTTTTCCCTATTTTTCTTGAGACATGCACATCTCTATTTGAATTAGGGTGTATTGGAAACTTGTCTTGTTAGTTAGGTCGCCTACTAGATAACCAGAGCTGAAAGTAGTTTTATATTTTACTGGTACAATTACATTTTAGTTTACATCCATTACACATGATTACGATTATGCTATGACTATGTTCAAATCAGGGTCAAGCTGACTAGTCCATTCTAATGTGAAAGGGGGGATGCTTTGACAGCTAAAATAGATTTGACAATCCGATACTATTTTGATGGTGTTTTTTGTTTAAAAGTAAACTACTCTCAGAATATTAAGAGAAAATCAAATTGCTCTGATGCTTCGTCCATTAGTGGTAAGGGCAGGGGCAACTGTTTTGGGGTCCCTCCAGGTTCGGGGGCCCTAAGCGGCCGCCTACTGTTACCTAATGGTAGCGCCGCCTCTGTCTTCTCCCTTTCTGTGATGTTTTTTATTGAGTTTGATGGTTTTCTTGTAAGCAGCCATATTTGTTTTGCTATGGTTTGGACCATGCCTTTTCCTGATTGGCTAATCCACCATTTGAACTCAGGAAGATTCAGCGATGACCACACTCATATCTTCGTAAAGTATTGGGGAAGTGTGTATATTGTGGATCCCAAACAATCCTTCTTCAGATCTTGAGCTATTAACCTGTTGTATATGTTTCAGGTTGATGTGGAAAACCCGAGAACTTGAACTAGACTAGACCAGCTGGATATAAGGAAAACATGGAAATCCTTGACCTTCTCTCTGTGAGGTCAGAATGCTCACCACTCTGCCGCTAATAAAATGTAAAATGATTAGAAAGACGAGTGCTTCAATGGGTCTATTGAGTGTCATGTAAGGTACATGTAAGAAAAATCCAAGACACTCAGACTACATTAAACCGTTCTTTAAAGGGCCTGTATTTTCTGGGCCCTATTTTCAAAGGACCCTATTTTCAGTTATAATGTTGTTACCTTATCAAAAATATACTTGCAGTTGCGTTTTGCTTCATGTTCTTCTCTCAAATGGAAAACACTCTGTTACACTTTATGTCATGTGATAAAACAGGAAGTGCTCCACTGTGTTTTTAAACTCCATACTTCTTCACTAGAGTTATTTGGATAATTTCAGTGACGGAATTTCCAGTCTCTATTAAACTAAAAGGTAAAAGGCAGCTGTTAACTTGAAAACTATAACTACATGACATCACAAGGTGGAATGGAGCGTTTAGAGCATTGGAGGTGTAGACAGACTAATAATGCAGGATTACTCAAACATGTGAATGAAACAAAACACAACTCCAAGTATGTTTTTGAGACAAACACCATTATAACAGTCACAGGCTCATTTCTACATGAAAGGACTTTTTAATGTGTTCAGTGCTTCAAAATTTCCTCTTTGCTCTCAGTAAAATATAAAAATTGGACAGTCATTTATAGCCTACCTGTTATCCTCATTCTCAATAATCCTCATGTAGCGCTCCAGCTCATTCTCCAGGGAGCTCTGGTACATGGCCAGGTGGCGGCACTCATTGGTGAACTTCTCCAGGGACTTCTCGGCTTCTTCGATCTCCTTCCTCAAAGATTCGATTTGCTCGTTGTACATCTGGAGTTCGTCCTCGTAACTCTCCTGGGTGCTCTTGATGGCCTGCTCCAGCATCTTATTCTAAAAGACAGATACAGCTTCATTAAGGAATCACAGTAACATGATTACGCTGTAACAAAGCCCCAGGAGGGAAATTTAAAATGTCAAACACGGGTCATTACTTCTAACACCGGGGATTATGCGGCTGAGTGAGTCCAGATGGTTCAGGTAAGGATACAAAAACAGATGTACTACACATAAAAATATACACAAGCTAAATTTAAAATATTTACTTTTAAAACATACTGTTATAGATCTGACATTTGGCAAAACTGTAGCATATATAGCAACAATAATGATTATTGTAATGGCTATTATAATAACCAGTCTTACATAGTGCTTTTCCAGTTTCTCAAATTCCATGCATTATCTGTTCATTCCATACCTGGTGGTAAGCTCTCATTATATCCACAGCTGCCCTGGGGCAGACTGACGGTGGTGAGTCTGCCAATCTGCGGCATCTGCCCAGCTGATCACCATCATCACTTTATGCACACAACACATTGATACTCAGCCTACTTGCCTAAGGACAAAGCAGCTGTTTGCACTAGAGCCTCACTGTGACACTTGGTCTCCCATCAAAGTACTAACCAGGAGATCAGGCACAAATAAGGAGGTAGGGGCAAGTATTTATTTATGTATTATTTTATATTTTTTGAACAAATCGCACTATATCTTATACCCGGAGCAATTAACATTATGATACAGTAAAAGACTATGCTGACCTCTAGTGGCCATGTTAAATGTTGCACCAATTCTGTATTTACTTAATATGCAATATGTTTGGAATGAACATATAAACAAATACAATGTTATTTAAAAATTTTTTATTTTGAATAGTTTTAAATAATGTTAGATTTTCATCAGTTTGAAACCCATGGATAGTGGCTTAATTGATTTACTAAACACAGGCCTATATTACAAAAATATATATTATTATTTTTATAAAAAACAACATAGACTACTTATTTTCACATTTTTCTTAAAATGTGGATTTTTGTACTTGGCACCAGCTCACGAATAAATCACTAAAGCATAACAGACCATAAAATGACACAATAGTTGTTGTCATGGCAACGAGTGTGCTACCCACCTCACTCTGCAGCCGCTGTTTTTGATTCTGCAGCTGACAGAGGGCGCTCTTGTACTCCTCCAGCTGACACTGCAGACCTGGAACCTTCCTCTGGGTTAACAGCTTCTCCTGCTCCTGAGCACAGTTAACCACGAATCAATAAGGCCACAAAGCTGAACAGCACACACACGCACATACAAACACACACACTCAAGCACAGACACATACAAACACACGCACAGACACACACACACACTCAAGCACAGACACATACAAACACACGCACATACAAACACACGCACATACAAACACACACACTCAAGCACAGACACATACAAACACACGCACAGACACACACACAGGGGGGCGGTCACTCATCAGCTTTTATCAAAGCCAGCGAATCAAAGCCATAATTAACATGAGCCCTATCAATGAACGAGGCTTTTTGTCAATACACAACAGCTGCAGCACATGTGATATAAAACAACTCCAGGGTAGAGGAAATCATTAACATAAAGAAATTCTGTATAAATGACTAATGTGATCTAATTTCACCTTTTTTGTTTAAATACTTGTTTCATTCTTTTTTAAACAGACTCTTCTCTTTTGGAGTACCATCATATTGATAATGTGACCAAACAGAGGAGAAAGGTCTCTCAACACAGATATAATGAATGGAGGCAGAATGCATTAAATATGAATAAACTGTATATATTTTTAAGGACGATTTTAACTGCATGTATTTCCCTTCTGACTATTTTCCCATAACACTGATACATATGATTTGCAATTATTTTTAAGTGTATTTTTTATGTGATGCATTAATTTTCGTTTTATAGAACCTTGGGACCTGACTCAGTTACATTGCTGACTTGTGGTAGCTTAGTGTTTCAATATGTTATTGATTATTAAATTCAAGCATATATAATGTAATATCACTTGCTCTTCTAAATTAATTAGTTGCTGGCTAAAATACTGTAGTTTTTGATAAGCCTGTACTAGAAAAAAATGTATCCAGTGTCTTTTCTTTTCCAAACCACTTGTTGTCTGTGCTCATTTACAAGCCAATGAAACCTTTCAACATCGTTTGATCTTCTGACTGATTAAAAGGAAGCATACATGGTGTAATATCAATTGCTATTCTAATCTGTCATTTTCTTGCTAATTCATTATCTGTACTAGAGCCCGACCGATATGGATTTTGCTGTGGCCGATATGAAACCGATATAATGGAAGTTGGAGCTGCCGATAGCCGATATAATCGCCGATATATTTAGTGATGTAAAAATTCACTGTAAATGTTGAATTGTTTAAAAAACTTAGGTTTGGCTCTGGTGGATTTTAAATTGGGTTTATTTAGGCAACATTTATTGTTATTCTGCCTCTTTACATCATATTTACAGAGAGTAGGTTGGCTTAATGGCATTTTTGCATCACATTCTAGACACTAGTGATGGGTATTCCAGTTCTTTTTAGAGAACCGGCTCTTTTGGCTCGGCTCACTAAAAGCTGCTGGTTCTTTTGGCTCCCAAGTGGCTCTTCAGATTGTTTTGTTGCAAGCAGGACTAAAGCACGTCTAAAGCAGGACTGAATCAGGACTGAACCAGGTCTAAACCAGGACTGAAAAAGGACTAAACCGGGACTTATTTATTTTATGCTAAACTACAGTCAAATATGCTCGTTTTTTTTTTTTTTTTTTTTTTTTTTTTAATCCTACGTACACGCAAATTTCTCAAAGTTTCGTTTTTAGCCGCTGCCGCTGTCAAACCACGAGTCTGCACGCGGCGTGAAGAGAAAAAAAGTGAGAGAAAGAGAAAACACGGCTCCCAATAAGGATCAGGCTCCCGTCGTTCCCTTCAAAGAGCCGGTTCTAAGAGTCATTTCGTTCGCGACGGACCCATAACTAGTAAAGAAAGTAGCGCTATTAGCCTTTAGCCGTAAATACGTGCGCGCCGCGGTAATTAATTATATGTGCAAATGTCATAATTCACACGTCTGTTCACAGCTCATTTACATATCAGTGCAGGTCCAGTAGCAAATATACGGCCAATATAGTCACTTTAGAACAGACCAATAGAAAACAGTCTGTTTATGTGCGGGAGCTACAGCAGCTAACCCATAACAAATGACAAAAACTAGCTTCAGAGTCGACATATTTCCAACACTCACCGCTCACACAGGCTCCTCCTCACATCACAAATCTGCACTAATAAATGTCCTTTTAATCCAGACTCAAACCGATTGTCCGTAAAAAGAATATAATCTCAGTGTTTGGATCTGTGTCTGCAGGTGTAAACAAACACACGTGAGTGACGCGACTCTGTGGTGTGTTCAGGGACAGTACGGACACACACAGACAAATGACTCCGTAGATAAATACTGATGTGGAGCCACATATTAGGACATTTATCTGTCTGTAAATTGGATTAAATGAACAGAATGTAGAGAGTCTAAGCTTTATAACGAGGTATAACATGCCCACGTGAAATATCGGCACCTATCAGCAAGCATATCGGCCGATATGCCCAAAGTTGCCCATATCAGCCGATAAAATCTGCCAACCGATATATCGGTCGGGCTCTAATCTGTTGTTACCACTTTGCCTAAAATGTTCCACAGCATGGGTTTTGCTTGAATATATCCACGGAGCCAAGCGTGTTGCACCACAAAGACAAGTTTCATATCAGATCTATGGCGAGGTCACCCCACTCACAGGAAGAATGCTTGTTTTTTGAGCAATAAAACCACCTGTAAAGAATAAGTTTAATTTCATACTGTGGAACATTCCTGACAAAATAGTAAGTTTCCATGGTGATAAGCAGATGAGTTACCCACCACTAGAAAACTTACAAAGTGCACCTTTAAATATAATGTTTTATAAACTACGGATGCACACCTCAATTTCAAGGACCCATCCCTATTATGCTATTTTCTGATCTTTGTTATAATGTTGTTTCCTCATCAAAAACATAATTGGAGTTGTGTTTTGTTTCATTCACACATGTTTAACACACAAAATGCAGTAATATAAGAAGTGCTCCACTGTGTTTTTAAACTCCATACATCTTCACTAGAATCATTTGGATCATTTAACCTCTAGAACCTCTGTTAACTTGAAAACTACCACTAAATGACATTACAACGTGGATCAGAGCATTCTGAGCATTTGAGATACAGACAGCTCCAGATATGTTTTGAGGAGATAACAAACAGCATTACAACATGGCTAAAAGCTCACAAGAGTCAATTTTGTGTTATATAGGACCTTTCATTTTTTTCTGATTAATATAGACCTTTTAAATACAACTTTCTAAATCTAGAATTTATATTTTCAAGCCACTTGTTATCTGTGCCCATTACCGAGCCAATTAAATCTTTCTTCATACTCTTTGCCTATTTCAGATGAATTAAATTTGCCCTGGCTGTCCTCGTATCACCCAATCGAAGTGCATTTTACTCAGGGATAGCCTCATTATCACACATCGAACACACCACGCAATAATAATAGACCATTCTATCTACCATATGTCTGGATAATTGTTCCCCCTCTACCTGTTTTCTCATTTGGTCACACAGATGCAGAGACTAACCTCATCAGCCCTGGACACGTCTGTGGACTGACACACACACACACACAAACATGCACTCTACCCTCGGGATACACACACCCACACACACACCCACGCACACACAGACGCACTATAGTAGCTGACGGGATTCGTGAGCTCACCTCGGAGACGCCCAGAGACACAGGGGGCAGCGTCTGGTTGATTTGCTGCAGAATGTTGACGTAGGTTTGGATCTCGGCCAGGTTCTGAGGTAAAAAAAAAAGGGGAAAAAAGGGCAGATTTTAAATTTTTATTTTACTGTATTTAGATTTTTATATATTTTTAATTAAGGGTGCATTGAGTAACTTTTCTGAGGGTCCATCAAAAGTCATGGAGATTTCTCTAGAATGTTTCACAGTATGGTATTAAACCTTCTATCTTCATGAAGACCAAACTAAACCAAGTTATATGTCAGATCTGTGGAGAGGCAACCCCATTCACGGCTGTTTTTCAAGGTATATTTGAGCTATAAAACCACCTGTAATTGAAGAAATGTAAAGTAGAGCTGTTAAGCAGTAGGTGATGGACCCCCAACCAAAAAGTTAGATAATGCACCTTTAAATATATGTCTTCATGTATTGCTGTATTTATTTATTTATTTATTTATTTATTTATTTATTTATTTATTGCAGCAAGTGTTCTCTGTTTTCTATCTTTGGTCCTACTTCCAATTAGGTGACAGAGCCCAATTATACTATGGGGCAAGGCTGCAAAACTAATCGAAATTGAATTGGAAATGCAATTTGTATGGAGGCAATTAGCGAATCGCAAAGGCTGCACTTTTTGAAGTACTCTCATTTCCTCCCCAAACATCAAAAGGACTTCTCTTATTCAGCATAAAAACTCCTCTAAAAACTAAAAACTGCTCTAGAGTTTAGATGTGCACATGCTCTGAAATGTTCATATTTCGATCTTTTGTCAGTTCTTCTGGGTGCGTTTAATATGTGAACTTTGAACAGAATCCTATTAAAAAAGCTGATGGGCCTTGTTAGTAAAACCACTCAAACTCTGACCCAAACTGCATGGACAAAGTTAAAGCATTACTGGAGTTCACACAATTACAAATATTTATAAAGAAAACTACAAAAAAGTGTAAAAAGGAAGCTTAAATTCACAATTCAAATCAAACTAACTCAGTCCACTTACCTTTTTTTCTGTTGTGGGCCATATAAATCATTATAAACTTACATAATGAGTTAAGTAATAACATTTTTGGTACGGTAAGACTCCAGCGACCATCTGCACTACTACAGCCCACAGTGAAAAAAATAATAATTGGAATTTTGATAAGATGTATGCCGTTTGAACTTGATGTAATGCTTTTCTTTCAGACTTGGGATGCTCAAATAGTTTTTCTTTTTTCATTCAAAAGTGTAAATTCACTGTTATATTGAACATAACCACAAACAACAAACTACATCTAGTGTCATACAGTAGAAAGAGAAGCTTCTCCATCCTCTATTGATGTGTGGACGATGTATATGCTCTCAGAACAAAGGCATGATGCTCTTTAGATGCTCTACACAGCTCAGGGGGCACTTCTGGAAGTTACAGATGAAAGCCAGTCTATTGAGCCTATTGAAATTTAATACAATACTAATAATGTCAGCTTAAATACCCTTTACCAGATTTTTCCCATATGTGAGAGCAAATTACATCTTGCTCCAGTATAGATATAATGTATAAGCAGCTCTTGAGGCCAAAGTGCTGTACTCCATCTATATAGAAAATGTTTTACTGTCTTCCTGACCGATTTTACATGATGATTAGGAAGTGCACTATTAGCATGCTAGTTGCGATTACCTTTACCATGCACTGTTCTTGGAGAGCTGTGCAAAGATGCTTTTAAAGGGCTCATATTACACTATTTTCTAATCTACCCTCTAATGTTGTTTTTTCATCACAGACACACCTGGAGTTGTGTTTTGTTTCATTCACACACATTTAACACACAAACCCTGCATGTTTAGGCAGAATTTGTTTAGATTTCTTCTGTCAACACTATGTTCCACCTTGTGATGTCACGTGGTAATACAGAAAGTGTTCCATTGTGTTTTTAAACTCCATACTCCTTCACTAGAATCATTTGGATAATTTCACCCATGGGACTGCCAAACTACTCAACAAAAACTAAAAGGTAGCTGTTGAAAACTACTACTTTGTGACTTCACAAGATGGAACTGAACATTTTGAGCTTTGGAGATGTGGACAGACTAATAAGAAAGACATACTCAGACATGTGTGAATGAAACAAAACACAACTCCAGGTATGTTTTTGAGGGGTAATATGATAACATGGCTTAAGGCTCACAAGAGTCAGTTTTTGCGCCTATGTTCAACAGTCTGACAGAAATATAGCTTGAAAAACTTAAAAAAAATATTTGAGCAGGGTCACTCCCTGTACACTTAGCACAAGCTTGTCTCCATGGAGATAGATAAGTTTAATGGTATTTAATAGTGTTCTGCAGCAAAGCAATAAGACCCCATGACATAGCCTCCACCAGAATAATAATAAGATATATAAACAAAAATGCACAAATATAGTTAAAGAAAGTACTTTTCACTTAGAGGGTTAAGGGCCCAGTGCCGTCTTAAAATATGAAAAACAGAACTAGTTCATTTAAAACAGTTTGCAATTATTCTTCACTTAACTTACGCTTTAAATGATAATCAATTATGGCAACATTATAGCTTTATCCAGATTCAAATAGCCTTATGTGTCTGCGAGGGGCAATTAAAAAGCACTGACTCCATAATAGTTTATGAATGTCACGCTGGACAGCCAATGCAGTTGTCACACGGGGCAGCTGGTGTCACATTGGTTATTTCAAAAGATTTTGTTGCCCGTCTAAGAACTGAGAGCACAGAATCTACTGAAGACTGGTAACACTGACGGTTTCATGCATGTTTCCTTTGGAGTAACATTTGTTTACATCAATGACTAAAACCAATATGGCGACAGGTGGCAGAACCGATAAACAAAAAGGGAAAATCCAATCCAAACAAGGGCTGCGCTGTCACTCTATTCACTCAGTTAAACACGGCAAAGCACTTTCTATTCTTGTGCACACTATGAGGGCAACACAGAGGCTTTATACATTATCTCTGTGTTACACTCTAGAATTAATTAATATATCAATACAAAGACAAATTAAAACATGGCATTTACATTTGTGCTCAGTGCTTCTTATTAATGTTATTTTTTTCCTAGTCATGTCCTCACTTATATTAGTTTAAAGAAGACATATTGTACTTGTGTCTACAATATAGTTATAATCTAGGACACCCGTGGATCATTATGTTCAGAATATTAATCTAAGACAATTTAATAAAAGAAACCCTGATGCATATCTGCACATCACATAGCAAGACATTTTTTTATGCTGCTGAATCCAATGTGTATCACAAAGTAAATATAGTGCAGTGGGCATATACCGATGGCAATGATGTCTTGAATACAGCAGAATACAGATTACTCAAACATGCAAGAGAAATCGAAAGAACTATAACATGATAAAAGGTTCTAAAAAGTTGATTTTGCAGAATAGGTCAGCTTTAATAGATTATAAGTTCAAAAGAACTCTACACATTTCAATATAATAATGAACAGATATATTGTGATGTTGCTCTTAAGGTCAAAATTATGAAATGTCGGCCTCCAATTATAAAACACTGTATCCTTTGTGAATCAGGAAGTAGCACTGTTAACATGCTAGTTGTTGTTAGTTCTGCCTGTCATGTTTTTAAGACAGTAAAAATCAGGTACATCTATTTTGGTCCACACTGGGGAAAGATTGTCTTTCCAGCCATATCTTGGGAGTGCTGAGACTCAGTGGAGCCTGGCGCCTCCCTGCTGTTTAAATTCTTGTTGTATATCAGAGTGCACTGGCACATGCTTCCAGAATAAAAAAATAAATAAAAATACTTGCTGCTAAGTTTGTCTTGTCAATAGAATAGACCCAAGCTGTGGTAGCTAGTAACAACTATACTTTTCCTGTAGCGTACTGCTTTCACGTTTTACCCTTTTGTGTCTTTCTTTGGTGGAGCTGATGTCGTCCTGCAAGAACTGGCACTGGATCTGGCTCTCCAGGTTTTGAAGCAGGATGCTGTCGGCCTCCTGCAAGATTTGATTCATAAAAATATATTTTTAAAAAATCAAAACAAACAAAATTTGTATATCTACATTTGACTATTTTAGGATTCTTTCAATTTTAGGTCTACATTTTTGGGTGCTGAGTCATTTTAAACTTGTGATGTTGTACTTATTTTTCACTCTTACTTTGTTTAGCTGCTCCAGTGTTCCTCGCAGTTGCTCCTGGGCCTCACACTCCTCCCTGTACCTGCAGCCACACATCACAGACAGGTCTGTGCCAGGTATGGTTTAAGTATGTAAATATTGAAATATAAACAGCTGCTTTATCAAAGGTGAAGTTATAGTGACGCTTTGTCCAGCAGATGTAAGGGAGTTAGTAATAGTAAAGCTTGTGGTGCATATTCACAGTCACGATCAATCATAATGAAATGATTCCAGGGAGCCCTGTGTCTGTTGGCAGCTAAGTAAACTCTGTGCAGGCAGATGGTGAATACCCACACGTTCTATCACCAGGGGAACAGCGCTGTGTGCTGTGACAATATGAATGCAGTATTTTACTTTTATAGATGGTTTTAGGACAGACTGCTCCATCACTATGTACATGCTGAACCCTGAGGACCTTATATTTAGAGATACAGATCTGTGACATGCTTTTACCACTCAGCTCTGCCCCCTCTGGGACAGAAGCACTCACTTGGTGGTGTATTCGTCCAGCATGCGGCAGGCGTCTCTCAGCTCTCTCTCAAGCTTGTTGTGCTCTGATGCTAGTTCTCGGAGACGCTCTTTGTTGAACTGGATCTGCTCGCTGAAGGCCTCCTCCAGCCCGTTGTTCTTGTCCATGCACTGCAGTGTCTCCAGCTGTTTTCTAAACACAGCGTTCCTCTGCTCTAAGACCCTCGCTCTGTTGATGTAGCGGGCGAAGCGGCTGTTGAGCTCTTGCAGGTTCTCCCAGCCCTGGATGGCAGACATGGCAGCAGAGCTGTCCTCTGGCTCCTCTTCGAACACATCAGAGCGTTCGTACTTCTCCTTGCGCACCTCGCGCCTGTAGGTGCTGCTGAACATCGTGCTGTTGGCCCCTGGGCGGCTGGTGTCCCTGGAGTGCTAGGTCCCTGTCAGCACCTTTACTGTGTGAAAAGTGGGGTGCTCACCCGTGGGTGTCTCATGCTAGACTGAGCACTGTGAGCTGTGAGTGCACACATAATCCAGCCGTGCTCAGAGAGCCAGAGCTGTGCTGCCTGGGGCCTTCCAGAGCCAGCCCTGCTTTTGTGTGTGCCCAGAGAGATGACAAAGCATGATCATGGACAATTGGCCCCCTGCGAAAACACTCTGTTGTTACACCATTCTATGGCTCCAGTCTGCTGCTTTCTAGATCCTGTTTGATATGGAACACTGGCACGTGGCGTAATTTGTGCTGTACTTTTTCAATGGTCCATAGATGTCTATTGAAAACTCTATGCTGTGCGAAGGAAAATACCAGAAAATACATCATAGATATGTCTTTGGCAAATTGTAATATTAGTGCCTCTTGTACATTCACACGAGTGAATGTACTCCCTGGGGTCCTCTTGTCACTTTGAAAATTATGTTAGTTTTCCTGAAGGCATTCATTTATAAAGGGTTGTGTTGATTCTCTAAATGGGCACCAATGCCATGATATACATTGTAACACTGAACATAACTATATCTAAAATATGAAGTGGTGAGACTATCTCCCTTGTGTGACATTGGCACACATTACAGTAGTGTTAGTTTAATGGGACAAAATGGGACAGAGAGCAATAACAGCCAAAAATGAAAAGACAGGCTTTTACTTCTCTCTCCAAACTGTGCTACAAGGTCAGTGACAAAAGCCCTGAGGACAAACGTAGCAAACGCTGAGCACAACACATGTCAGATGGAGTTAGAGTAACTTTCTAGCAAAGTTCAGATGAACCCAGCACAGTAGCTGTGGGGCAGAGTTTGCAATTAGCTGCATTCAATTGTCACTTCAAATCAGTATTTCAACATTTTACAGGAAATAAGAACAACAGAAAACAAACACAATCGCAATGCACCATGAGAGTCACTCACACTTTCCCTTCACACACTCTGGGACTGCACACTTGTTAAAAGCTTTTGGGACACAATAACAAAAACGCTTATAGACACCCTGAGCTGCAAAAACCCCTCTCTCTGCTCTGTTTACAAAGCCTCACCACAATACCAATCAAATACAAAAACACTATATTACCAACTCTTACTATGGCCAACAGGATCATCAAAACATACAATTTAAAGCCCTGTACCATGTATCCGAGCAAAATTTGTATTACACCAGTGCAGATATATGAGCAACTCTTGAGATCAAAATAAGTCAGCTGTCTGCTATCTGCATCTAATCATAAAATGTTTTATTCTTCAATAATCAGAAAGTGCACTGTTAGCATTATAATGATGGCAAAACTCCGCTCTGGCCTCTGAAAGTTGTGAGAATTGCTTATGAAGTCATGCCAACAAATGATTAGGATACTCAGAATGCATAAGGTAGGTGAGGAATAACTTTAGACCACAAACCTTTTAAAATGAACTATTTCTGTTTTAAGACGTATCAGGTAGAGCATTATTAAAAGCACAGTCCAGAATTTTTTGGACATAAGACCTCATTTCCTAGTTAGCCAGAGTGTTGGAGACGTGTGGAGACACTTTTTTAAATATTCCACCCAGTCCTTGTATTTGCAGAGGTCGCTGGTGCTAGGCTAGTGCATGTCAATGGCCATAGTTAGCCTGCCACTAAAAACAGTCTTACCCACTCCACAAAACACCCGAAGCAAATCTATTATTACACCAGACTGTTGATGTAAATGTCTGTGTTGACAGAATGATGTTTGAAATAAAACTAACCTTGCATCGCATGAATTGTTGCATGCTGAGGGACTATTTTCTCATATATCAGTCCGCTGTATGAGGAAGTACAACTCACTGCTGCTCCTCAGACATAAATCCTTCAAATGCAAGGTTGGCTTTACTTCTAAAATTATTCTATTAACACAGACATTTACACGGATAGTCTGCTGTAAAAATGGATTTGCCTCAGGTGCTTTGTGGAGTGGGTAAGACTGTTTTTAGTAGCAGGTTAACTATGGCATTGACATGCACTAGCCTAGCACCAGCAACCTCTGCAAATACAAGGACTAGATGGAATATTTCTCCAACACTCTGGCTAACTAGGAAATGAGGTCCTATGTCCAAAATTCCGGGCTGTCCTTTAAAATCAGTCCCTGACCAACTCCCTTAAAAATATATATATCAAACAGAATTCAACCAAGATGTAAGGAGAAACAAAGAGAGATACAAAGGGAAATTCAAGTTTTGCTTCAGCAACATTTACACTGCGCTTCTCAGTTGCCTTTGTGTCTCAGTCAAAGGTCTCAGTCCAGTTTATCAGGAGGACTGGTCAGGTAGGGTAAGTAAATCTTTATCAGGGCAGTTTCAGGAGAGGAAAGTCAAACGTGTCCCTCCTCAGCATCACAACAGTGTCCAGGAGGAGCCAGGTGAACATAACAGTAAAGGCCTCACTCTTATTCCACTCTGTTATTTCGCTTGGTGATGAAACGGCTCACTCCCTCAAAGTATTTCCTCTGGAAGGTCTTGCAGTCACCATTCTATCTCCATTATACAATATAGAAAGCCAAAGATATGATTGATGTCCTATTTGGTATTTGGGCGATCTTGACATTGCTGTCATTTATCACTGCCAACTTAGCTCTCTTCTATCCCGATCCATAATCACCACTTGTATTCAGCAGCTCAAGATGCTTCAACAAAAATAGATAAATAAATTATAAAAGAAATAAGACAATCAATCAAAAGTGTGATGTTTGATGGTGCCAAATCAATAAACCTACTCAACTAGTACTACAGTATATTGCTAATGTATTTGTGTTGTATTTTAAACTGAACTCAACATAAGAAAAGGCTCAGATAGGTCTGGTGCTTGAAGAGTAAACCTCTTCTTGGCAACAGCCCCCCATAAACCTTCCTTCTTTTTAATGCACTTTTATATGGACACTTTGAAACTCAAAGCAATTCTGAAAATGCACCCTTTTTGGCACCATCAATCTCTAAAAACACAACCGGGTCTAAATACAATTTCTTTAACCAAAAATAGACACCACTCTGGACGAGAGTAGTGACAGAGAGAAGAGACTGAACTTTCATTCCTCAATCATTCTTTGACAGTCCATTCTTTTTTTTTCTATCTATCTATCTATCTATCTATCTATCTATCTATCTATCTATCTATCTATCTATCTATCTATCTATCTATCTATCTATCTATCTATCTATCTAGCCCTCTCTATCTCTATCTTTCACTTTCTTTCTCTCTCTCTCTCTCCTCCTCTGTCTCTCTATCCTACTCTCTGTCTCTATCTATTTCACACTTCTTTCTTTCATTCTTTCATTCTCTCTCTCTATCCCCCTCTGTCTCTATCTATCTCTCACTTTCTTTCTCTCACTCTCTCTCTCCATCCCCCTCTTTCTCTCTATCTATCTATCTATCTATCTATCTATCTATCTATCTATCTATCTATCTATCCCTCTCTGTCTCTATCTTTCTTTCTCTCTCTCTCATTTTATTTCTTTCTCTCTTCCTCTCGCTCTCTATACCCCTCTTTGTCTCTATCTATCTCTTTCTTTCTCTCTCCTTCTCTCTCTCTCTCCCTCTATTTCACACTTCTTTCTTTCATTCTTTCTTTCTCTCTCTCTCTATCCCCCCTCTGTCTCTATCTATCTCTCACATTCTTTCTCTCACTCTCTCTCTCCATCCCCCTCTTTCTCTCTCTCTCTCTCCTCTCTCTCTCTCTCTCTCTCTCTATCTATCTATCTCTCTATCTATCTATCTATCTAGCCCTCTCTGTCTCTAGCTTTCTTTCTCTCTCTCCTCATTTTATTTCTTTCTCTCTTCCTCTCTCTCTCTATACCTCTCTGTCTCTATCTCTCTTTTTCTTTCTCTCTTCCTCTCAATCTCTCTCTATCACTATCTCTGTCTCTTTCTATCTTTCACTTTCTCTCTCTCTCTCTCTCTCTCTCTCTCTCTCTCTATCCCACTCTCTGTCTCTATCTATTTCACACTTTCTTTCTTTTCTTTCTTTCTTTCTCTCTCTCTCTCCCTCTCTCTCTATTACCACCTCTGTCTCTTTCTATCTTTTACTTTTCTTTCTTGTCTCTCCCTCTCTATCTCTCTCTATCACATTTCTCTCTCTTTCTATCTTTCACTTTCTTTCTTTCTCTCTCCTTCTCTCTCCCTCTCTCTCTCTATTCCCCCTCTGTCTCTATCCATCTCTCACTTTCTTTCTCTCACGCTCTCTCTCCATACCCTCTTTATCTATCTCTCACTTTCTCTCTCTCTCCTCAATCCATTCTTTCTTCTATCTGTCCATCTATCGATCTGTGGATCTATCTATCTATTTCTATCTATTATCTATGTGGACCATGACAAAGTTTGAATGGGTTTTTGACAAATGTTCTAACAGAGAAATGGTGTAAGAGCCTGCTCTGATGCTCGGTGTTGTGGTCATCACCGGCACATTTGGACATTTCCAGTGAAAGGCTGTGGGAGGCAGCACCCTCTTCTGCAGCAGAAGATTGAAGGAGCTGTCGTGACTTCATCTCTGCAGTAAAAGGTCAACACTGCTCACCTTATTGTCTTGTACTGTGTCTGTCTTTAAGTGGTCTACGGTACGCTGTCTAGGCAACCACAATTACATGGATAGAAGTATACAGTGTACAAATGTGCGACAGGCTGACAGAATAATAATAATCAAGACAATAATAATGCTTTTAATAGCCACTTTTAAGACAACTTCTATTAAACTGCTCTTTAAGCCAGAACTTTCCTGGGGTGAACTGACAGAAGTGAGGCTGATAAAACCTCTGGGTAATGTCGATGAAGTATCTTGCCTAAGGACACAACAGCAGGTTCAGGTAGAGTCACTGCTGCCCCACTGTGACGCCTGATGGGCTGTTTATTTTGACAAACAGCTCTACCTTACATTTATTCAATTGCAGGTGGTTTTGCAGCT